CAGCTACTCAGGAGACTGAGGCAGGAGAATAGCCTGAGCCAGGAGTTTGAGGTTGCTGTGAGGTAGGCTAGCACTACTGGATTGTACCTGGCAACAGGATTTAGACTCTATCTCCAAAAAGAAAAAAATCAGACTGTATGTGCTGTTCAACAAAGTGTTAGTGTATATAGATGAAGTGCAGCTCTCTATGTATGGAGTGTATGAATTGATGATCTTCATCCTTCTGTCTGTTAGCAGACACTTAGTTCCTCTTTGCTGTTCCTAACATTGCATCAGTTAGCATACTGACATGTCTCCCTGAGCACGTGTGGGAATTTCTTTGGTAATTCAGGGTGTGTTCTAGGTAGAAGTGTTGGTGTGCTAGGGATGCTCTTCCCTAGAGGGTGCTGACCTGGTCCTCTGTAGCAGTCCTTATTCACACCCCTCCTGACAGGGGCTTATACTTTTCAGCTCTCATACCTTTACTAGCCCTTGGGCACCTGATAGCACATGAACTGTTTCCTGGTAATTCTTGCCTTTCCTTGATTTCTGGTGAGGTTGAGCATCTTTTCATATCTCTTTTGGCCATTTGAGTTTCTTTTTCTGCAAATAATTATTCTTTGAAGGCGATTCCACTCACATGAACAGGCTTCCTTAAGACACAGCAGAGAGGGCTGGGCACAGTGGTTCACGTTTGTAATCCTTGCACTCTGGGAAGCCAAGGCCAGAAGATCCCTTGCGCTCAGGAGTTGGAGGCCAGCTTGAGCATGAGCATGACCCTGTCTCTACTAAAAATGGAAAAACTAGCTGGGCATAGTAGTGCATGCCTTTTAGTCCTGGCTATTCAGGAGGCTGAGGTAGGAAGATCATTTGAGCCCAAGAGTTTGATGTTGCTGTGAGCTAAGATGACCCTGTGGTAGCACTGTGCCCAGGACAGAGTGAGGCACTGTGTCCAAAAAAAAAAAAGACTCAGTAGAGGCTCAGGAATAGATGGGTGGTTGCCTACAACCATAAAAAGACGACTCTGCCCTTAAGTTTAGAGTCTAGTTTTAAAAAGGTAAAACTGGAACTCATTGCTTGCTGTACTACTGTGTTCAATGAACATGTTGTTAATGAATATTCATTCCATTACTTCACTAACATATATTGTAAAAAACAGACTAACTTTTTTAGTGAGACACATTCTTCTAAGTTATCTATTATACTCAAAATAGTAGCCGTGAAGAAGCAGACTGTTAACTCTCTAGCCCACTTTTTGATAGATATGGAAACTACTAAGAGGAAAAAAGGCTGATTGTTCTCAGCCTCAAGCCACGTGGAGGCAGTATCTTAACCTTGCAAAACCACAATTGGGAGATCCTGGCGACATGCCAGCGACCGCGCCTGTGCACCTGGTCTGGGCACAGGAATTTTTATCTCCTTGGTGCCAAGCCATATGGAGTTCTGCCTCAGTCTTTCCTGAATTGTGCCAGGCAAGATTTGTATATGCTCACTCTCAGAAATGGCAGAGGCAAAGACATATATGCTTTTCATCTACACTCAAAAGAGACAGGTACTCTTGCAATTTGTTTATTTATTTATTCTTTGTAGATAGAGTCTCACTCTGTTGCCCTAGGTAGAGTGTCATGGTGTCATAGCTCACAGCATTCTCAAACTTCTGGACTCAAGAGTTCCTCTTGCCTCAGCCTCCTGAGTAGCTGGCACTAAAGGTGCCCACCACAACACCTAGCTAATTTTTCTATTTTTAGTGGAGATGGAGCTCACTCTTGCTCAGGCTGGTCTTGAACTCCTGAGCTCAAGCAGTCCTCCTGTTGTGCTAGGATTATAGGTGTGAGCCACTGCACTCAGCCAAAATGCACTTTTTCCGTACATGTGTGGTAATCACTTTCTGTGTTAGACCAAAGACCATACGTTGATAATAGTTTTTCAAGGTAGGGGGAAGGCTCAGTGCCTGTGGCTCAAGCAGCTAAGGCGCCAGCCACATACACCCAAGCTGGCAAGTTCGAATCCAGCCCAGGCCTGCCAAACAACAATAACAGCTGCAATAAAAAAATAGCCGGGCGTTGTGGCAGTGCCTGTGATCCCAGCTACTTGGGAGGCAGAGGCAGGAGACTCGCTTGAGCCCCAGGAGTTGGAGGTTGCTGTGAGCTATGATGCCACGGCAGTCTACCAAGGGGTAGACAGAGCTTGAGGCTCTGTCTCAAAAAAATAAAAATAATCAAAGTAGGGAGAAAAATGACATATAAATATATTTTATTTAAATGATACATACTTGCTATAAGTGAATTAGAAAATACAGTGAAACAAAAAGAAAGCCAAAGTTACCCCTTGTTCCATCCTCTAGAGTTAGCGCATCCATGAGTGTCCTAGTGCTTACAGGTACGTTATTTGAGGTCAAAGTGGAGTCGTACTATGTAGATGTTTTGTAATCTCCTTTTTCCTCTTTACAGTGTCCCATGTATACCTGTCTGTATTGCTGCACTCCTTCTTCCCGTTCTTTATGAAAATAGGCAGGAGGGGCTTCGTTTTCTAGACACGCTCTCACTTAATACACTAATCCCCCTTTTTAGGTTCTTTCTGATTCTCATAGATTTTCAGTGAAAATTCTGAATTTTAGTGTATGTACTGAACTGTTTCCTTAGGTTAAATTCCTGGAAGTGGAATTGCTGGGTCAAAGAATGTGCACACTTTTTTTTTAAGAGGCAGGGTCTTGCTCTGTTGCATAGGCTAGAGTTCAGGGGTGTGATCATAGTTCACTGCAACCTCCAACTCCTGGGCTCAAGCAGTCATCCTACGTCAGCCTCCCAAGTAGCTGTGATTACAGGTGCCCACCACTATACCTGGCTACTTTTAAAATTTTTTGTAGAGACGAGGGTCTCACTGTATTGTACAGGCTGGTCTCAAACTCCTGGGCTTACTGGTCCTCTAGCCTAAATTCTAAAGTGATGAGATTACAGGTGTGAGCCACCGTGTGTGTGGTCAGATTGCTGGGTCAGAAGCTGTGCACGCTTTCAAGGTTTTCAGTCCTGGCTTATTTTCTCTCCCACCTTCATATATGACACTGGTTGAAGCTGTTAAAATAGAAAACTTAATGGGATTTCCCAGTTTCAAAAGGAAACATGCTCAAGGTATTACATTCAGAAAATAAAGATTAGGCTCAGTGCCTGTAGCTCAAGTGGCTAAGGCACCAGCTACATATTCCAGAGCTGGCAGGTTTGAATCCAGCCCAGGCCTGCCAAACAATGATAGCTGCAACCAAAAAATAGCCAGGTGTTGTGGTGGGTGCCTGTAATCCCAGCTACTTGTGAGGCTGAGGCAAGAGAATCACTTGAGCCCAGGAGTTGGAGGTTGTTGTGAGCTGTGATGCCACAGCACTCTACCCAAGGTGACAGCTTGAGGTTCTGTCTCAAAAAAAAAAAGAAAGAAAAGAAAAGAAAGATTAGAAAGATTGGAAATATTCCCATTATCTTACTACTTAAAAATAATCTTAACACTTAGGCAGGGCTCAGTGGCTCACGTCTGTAATCCTAGTACTCTGGGAGGTGGGTGGATTGCTAGAGCTCATGAGTTTGAGACTAGACTAAGCAAAAGTGAGACCCCATCTCTACTAAAAATAGAAAAGGTAAGGCAAGAGGAACACTTGAGCCTGAGAGTTGGAGGTTGCAGGGAGCTAGGATGACCCCATGGAGGTTGCAGGGAGCTAGGATGACCCCATGGCACTCTACCCAGGGTGACACCTTGAGACTCTGTCTCCCCCACCAAAAAAAATTAACATTTCAAGTATGTTTCCTTCCATAATTGTTCTCCATGCACTGTTTGTTATGTCTTTTTTTGCTGCAATTATAATGTATATATATTTTGTATCCTGATCCTTTTTTTAACCTTCATGTCATTCTCTTAGTCACTGAGTTAAGACATTCATACTCTGCTTTTAGAAAGATTCACTTGTGGCTCGGCGCCTATAGCTCAACCGGCTAAGGCGCCAGCCATGTACACCTAAGGTG